TTCCTTTCACCTAGCAGTAAATAGGTACCCGGGAGTTAGTCAACTGTTGTGGTGTTGTATCCTTGGGAGAGTCAGTAGTTTAACCTTGGGGGAGGACCTCAATATAAGCCTAAAGTATATATAATCACAGGCTGCCTGTCCCGACAAAACGAAATATAAATTTATAAAACAATAATCAAATTTATTTAATTTCCCTAGGCCTAAATTTACCTTACTATGACAATTCACAACAGTTGCTAAACTCCAATGTAAGTCTTTACTGCTAGGTGAACAGTAGCTTCAGGTGTAAGGAAACATGCCCAGACGTCTCCGTCATGCTAAGGAATCGAACCCGGCTCCGATCTGTTGTCAACCAACCGCGCTTATTACAACGGTAAAGGCAGCCCGCCCTCATAAACAACAGCCACGTGGTCGTTAATACGCCAGCAATGAGGATCATTGTGCACAACTAAACTGATTAAGCAGCCGCTCCGCTGGCTAAATTCATTCAGTCCAGAGACCAACCCCCCCAAAGACTCATTCATCAGTTTTAACAAATTGTTCATTCAAAATTGGAATTCCCTCAAATATACAATTAACATTATTATATATTAGCATATTGTGAATATTTAGGCATAGGTTACGTTAGGTGTTTACATTCTTTTGGCAATTATTCGTATTTGCACAACCCGTCCTCGACTCAAGTCCATTACATCCAGCGGTCAACCCCACAGACGCATTCATATATTTTAACATGCTGTTCATTCAAAACGGGAATTTTCTCAAGTATAAATTAATATTATAATATATTAGCATATTGTGTATATATAGGCATAGGTTAGGTTAGGTTAGGTGTTTAGGTTCTGTTGGTGATTATTTGTATTTGTAGTACGTGGGTGAAGCATTTACAGCGTTGTGGTTCGAACAAAATTCGTCAGTGAAGCACTTGTTCCGGATATGTTCGAACGTCAGCAGTTGTGAGTCGTGTGTAAACCGCTTTTCATTCATAAACAGGGGGTTTGGCGGGTGCATGGAATCACTTTTGGATCTTTGTTTGGAGGACGGGCTGTATTCGAAGAGGTCATCAGGGAAGCAATGTTCAAGAAATGCTCGAACGTCCCAGCCCGCAACCCGTCCTCGACTCAAGTCCATTACATCCAGCGGTCGCCCCCACAGACGCATTCATAACTTTTAACTTGCTGTTCATTCAAAACAAGAATTTTCTCAAATATAACTTAGTAATATAATATATTAGCATATTGTGCATATTTAGGCATAGGTTAGGTATTTAGGTTCGGTTGGCGATTATTTGCATTTGTAGTACGTGGGTGAAGCATTTATAGCGTTGTGGTTCGACAGCCCGTCCTCCAAACAAAGACCCAAAAGTGATTCCATGCACCCGCCAAACCCCAGCTGTTTATGAATGAAAAACGGTTTACACACGACTCACAACTGATGACATCCGAACACTTCCGGAACAAGTGCTTCACTGACCAATTCTGTTCGAACCACAACGCTGTAAATGCTTCACTCACGTACTACAAATACAAGTAATCGCCAACAGAACCTAAACACCTAACCAATGCATATATACGCACAATATGCTAATATATTATAATATTAATTTATATTTGAGAAAATTCCCATTTTGAATGAACGTGTTAACATTTATGAAAGCGTCTGTGGGGTCGTTCACTGGATGGAATGGACTTGAGTCGACGACAGATTGGAGTCATGTGTAAGCCCCTTTCCATTCATGCACAGGGGGGTGGGGGGGGGGGGTTGGCGGCAGAATGCAATGAACATTTGTTGATGAGGACGGGCTGTATTAAGTTCTAACTTTTCTCAAACATTGAATCGTTCGGGCATTTTGTGAGGTACAAGTCGTACCTCACAAAATGCTTCACCCACCTACTGCAAAATATAAATCATAGTCAACAAAAACCAAAGCAGCTAATCTAGACCTAACTATAAAAAAATATTAAATTAATATATCATCTCAATTTGAGTAAAATAACGATTTTGAATGCATAGTACTGTAGGAACCTCTCATGTTACTTCCACATATGATATTACATTTTACACTAATATGTAATATCTGATAAGCTGATATTACACTAATATTACTACTAACACAGATATTTCTACTCCTCGCTTATACCACTGATACCTGCACTACAACCATAAGAAATACAGATACAAAAAAAGTATAATAATTAAAAAATATATTTTAAATTCGACAGTTGAATGACAGTATGCCAAATGTATCTTACTAACAAAACATTACGTCAATAAAATGCCTGCTTCCCATAATTCATCGTTACTCTACATCATGTACAATTACACTGCCATTCTGTAGCTTTTTTTTTTTACTTGTTAATTTGTTTTAAATTTCACGCTCGGCATATCAACAACAACAGCCAATTGCAACGAGGCCATTCAGGGTGATTGATGACGTCACATGTAAACACAGTGCGCTATGGCAGATGCGCAGTGACCACCCAGTGAGGGGAAAATTAGTCATTATAATTGCTGCTTTTGCTGTCATTCGTTTGTTTGTTTGTTTCTTGCATTTGGGGAGGGGGTTTAGTACGCGTGTTTTCATTGGTGGTTCGTTGTTTGCACTTAGAATGCACTTTTAATTCATACTGTGATTTCCATAAGTAGCAGCGGATATAATATGCAAACTAGGATGTATCTCTGATGTAGAGATATTTTATTAGCGGTAGACGACGTGACGCGAATGTTACTTGTAATATTGTTATTAGTTTAGAAGTAGAAGAAGTAGAAGTTTTGGAAGTAGATGAGGCTTTGGTGGTGGTGGTAGAGGTAGTAGTAGTTGTTTTACAAGTAACATCAACTGCAGTAATAGTAGTAGTATCATTATTTGTAGATTTACAAATAATAAATAGTAAATCATAGCAAAAATAATTATATAGTACAAATACTATTAACAATACTATTCAAAATAATAACAGTAGCGACCTTAATGACGCCAATGACAAAATGACAATAATAATATTTTGAAGCCTAACCATCCAGGATCACTGTAGCAAGTCATAGCGACCCATGCAAGATCAAATTCGGTTCTGAAACGCGGGTTAAAATGCAGATTCAGCCACAGGAAGCGAGACTTGAGTCCTCTCACTAAAGTCTAATTAAAGTTAAACTAACTAAAGTATTTCATATTTTTAATTGATTAGGTTTCTTTCACTATCTGCATTTGAATAAAATTCTTTTTACAGTTTTTACTAGTTTTTTTTAACTGCCTTCATTATAAAATATTCGTCTGCCTTTAGTCAGCTTCCAGCTCCGCTGTTTATATTGTTATCTTCCTGTATATATTTTCCTGTTTATATACTTTCTGCCTCTTGCCATAAAAAATATGATGCGCTGTTATGATAGGCTCCGTCTCGCGCCCACACTCACTGTCACTCTCCCACTGTCACCATTCTCTCTGTCGCTCTGTCTCCCACTGTCACCGTCCAACCTGTCCTACAAAGAACGTCGCTTTTCGCTCGTTTGCGTTATATAAGGCCAAAAATGGTCGTACTAGAAAATGTAAGTGGCTGGCGAAAGTGACGTACTGTCCTTTAGCTTTGATGTCCAAAGGGTATTGGAAAGGATGGGGGAACGTACTGTCCCGTTTCTGTTTTGGGTCCTCTGGTAGGTTAGGAGACGATACATTAAATTACAACGGTGTCACCATTCAACCTGTCCTCCTGCAAAGAATGTCGCTCTATCTCCCTCCTTCTTTGTCTCTCCTCACACCCGTAACTCATCAGTCACCCCTGAGCACGTTCTGGCCCCATCACCCAAACATTGACACCCCTGACTACGATTTCACCTCTTCTCCTTATGAGTGAGGCCCTTGTTTACGAGCTCGTTCGGCGATCCAACGACGTGGTTAGACGTACGCAAACTGCCCCCGAGCCATCCACGGCAGACGTAAACTATGGTGTTTACCGAAACTGCCGAGCCTGTTTTTACGACGAGGCGGTTCCTGGCGATTATTGGCTGAAGGGAAGAGTAAGTGTGTCTGGGTTTGTGTTCGCGTCATTGTACTCCCCTAAACCTACTGCCAGGGACGAGTTGTAGCTCCCGGGCTCTATATTTGTAGCTATTGGTGGCTTACTGAAATCTCATCTTCACTCGTGTTTTATTATCTTTTACTGCGTTTTCTTTCGCAATGAAAATGGAATAAGCTGAAAGTTCTAGCTTGTTCCATCTTCTCACTCGAGGCATAACTAAGGTCTATACACCGGGGGGGGGGGGGGAGGGGGAGATTATCAAGACCATCGCAATTACTAACAACCGAGAGGTCTATCTTAATCCTAGAATCAGCTTAGAACACTAGTGCTGTATCAGGTAGACATACACTGAGGTATGATACAGTACACACGTTTCGGTGTATGAGTCTCAACACAATACTGCTAACGTGAGTTTTACCAACTTTACGTCCAATCCTCCTGGTTTAGATAGTACTTTTTGAAACTATGTGGACCATCGTACATATATTGACGTAATGGACAATTAAATATAATTCTAATAATACCAAATTCTATGGTATTCCGGAAAAAATAATTCTAAAAACCAAACGGAAATATTCCTAGGTCTAGTATAGCATATATATATATATTAGGCCTAGGATGGTTAGGTTAGGATTTATTACCAACAAATACAAAACCTTTTCCTGTTTGTCCAAACTCAACAGTAGCATACTTTCTAATTGTCCATTACATCAATATATGAACGATGGTGCACAGCGTTACTATAAGTACAATTTAAACAGGAGGATGGGCTGCAAGTGCACACAATAATAATAATAATATAAAAATAATAATATAAAACTAATAATAAAAAATAATAATAATATAATAATAATAATAATAATAATAATAATAAAAATAATATATAAAATAATAATAATTACATTTTTATCTTACTTTTCGAATATTTCACGTTTTTCTTTAGATAAATTGTTCCCTAACCTTGCTCGTCCTTGTCACTACTGCAGACGGATGTTCCCGACGGTGCGGGTGTCCTTCACTGGGCTCAGGAGTGAGGATAGGTACCTGGTCCTCCTCGACATCGTCCCTATGGATAACAAGCGATACAGGTGAGTGTTACTGCCTAACCGTTGCCACAGGAGGAAGAGGAGCGCTATGCACGTAGTGTTCCGCTTTCTCGATCAATTTGATTATATTCAGTCTGGGAGACTATTGGTAGTTTTAACATTAGGCAACTTTCTCCTGTTGTTTCAAACCCCATACTATGTTACTGGCGTGTACGGGCTCACCATAGCCCGTGCTACATGGACGCTTCGTTCTGAGTAGCTAAATCTGAAACAACAACAACATACTGGCGTGTGCATGCGTGCTCTGATTTGTGTTGTTAGGCATGTATGTTAGGGCACAAGTCAACCCGTCCTCCTAGTAAAACGTCGCATTTTGACGTATGCTCTACCCAAGGTCAAAAACTGTCGTACTGGAAAATGGTTGTGGCTCGATAAATTGACATACTCTCCCGTTTTCTGTTTTGGGTCCTCTGGTAGGCTAGGATACGAACACATTAGTACGACAGTTTCTTGACGTTGGGGAAATCTTAGGAGGACGGGCCGCGTAGGTAGGTATTTTGTGCATGTTGACACAGGTGTGTGAACATGGACAGGTGTGTTGTGTGTTAGCACGTGTGTGGAACTAACAAGGAGACTTAGACAGCCTACACTAACAATGAGGTTGCCATTAGAGGTAGTAAATTAACCTGGTGTGCAGTCATCGGGCCAACAATGTTGTCAGAAGTCTAAAGTGTTGTCAGAAGACCATCAAGTGCCACCTGTGGACCAACAAGGGTCGTCAGTAAGCCAAGTGTTGCCCGTCGCCCAGAAACCGTTGTCAATGTGTTACTTGTGTTGGCAGAAGGCTTGCGAACGTTGCTTGACCGCTAACGAATGGTGTCAGCAGCATATAAACAAATGACAATAATTATAATACATTTATCTCCAAAGGGCCACCAGACTTTTTTATATAGTCAAAGGTACGTGTTGTCATTATAAAAAGGTGTCAGGAATGGACAAACAGGTGCTATAAGAGGCATTAAGGATAAGAATATGTTAATATTCTAAGGTTTGATACATGGAACGTCTATTTTGCAACAAGGACTGGGAGGACGAAAAGAATGTGTGTTTATGTTAGTATACCCTAACATAAACTACAGTTTATGTTAGGCTATACAATCTTTCCCACTAAGAGCAGCTCCTTAATACATTTTTCTCTTCCTCCCACTTCTCCTCTCACCCCATTGAGTGATCTTCTCTTCTTATATCTGTACCTGTGACCGCTCTCAAGGGTCGTGATGGGTAGCGTAGTCGACGGGATTGATAACATTTTGGGGTATTGTTGAACACAGGTGGGCACACAGGTAGAACATTAATGAACATTTCCTTAACATAGCTGATGGTAAGCCTTACTATAATAATTGTCCCTGGAACACAATTTACCAACTTGCAGGGAGTGTTGTCAGCCAGGGTCACTATAACAAGTGTTGTCAGCCAGGGTCACTATAACAAGTGTTGTGAGCCAGGGTCACTATAACAAGTGTTGTCAGCCAAGGTCACTATAACAAGTGTTGTCAGCCAGGGTCACTATAACAAGTGTTGTCAGCCAGGGTCACTATAACAAGTGTTGTCAGCCAGGGTCACTATAACAAGTGTTGTCACAGGTACGCGTACCACCGGTCCTCGTGGCTGGTGGCAGGAAAGGCCGACCCACCGCCGCCCTATAGGCTCTACGCTCACCCAGACTCTCCCTACACCGGCGACCAACTCAAGAAGCAGATCGTCTCCTTCGAGAAAGTCAAACTCACCAACAACGAGATGGACAAACACGGCCACGTAAGTGAACGCTAAATGTAGTTACTACTAGTTTAGTCCCCGCAACTGAATGCCAAATGCAGTTACCTCTCTCACAACATTGGGGGATCGAACGTCGACGCTGCTAAAATGTAAAGCCGTTGCCCAATCGACCAATCCATGTGGATGTACATGTTTCGTCGTATTGGGAGGATGGTATATCATTTCTAGCTCGATATCAACTGTGTTGCTATCGTTACACATCACTATGGGAAGTTAGGCATTTTGGCCGGTCAGCACAGTTTATGGGAAACTAAATCATTTTGGTTTAGAGTTGGTCTTAAGACCTATATCCTAATAATCCTTAGTCTGTAGAGGATTTCTGTTAAGATCTCCACAGTTGATTGCAAACTAATGTGTGTGTGTGTGTGTGTGTGTGTGTGTGTGTGTGTGTGTGTGTGTGTGTGTGTGTGTGTGTGTGTGTGTGTGTGTGTGTGTGTGTGTTGGGTTTAAAAGCCCCATCAACCTTTCGACTACAGAGTTGTTAAGGTTGTAATAACTTATTGGCCAACCAGCAAGTATACTTTACACTTGAACACAGTCTAGTTCTAAAGTATAACTCATTGTATATTCACCGAGAAGCTGGGTATACTCTTGGTGTATATATATATCTGAATGTTCAAGACTATGGCAATTTTTGTTAATTTTAGTTTAGTTAAAATATACACAGAGATGCTATATTAAAGTAAAAATATATTACACATAAATACATAAAGCATAAACTCTCGGCATAAGAATTTCGTGTTTGAGATTTGTACATAAATGAAATATTTGAGATTGTACATTTGGACAATCACTCTTAATTAAAAAGATACATGCAAATTATTGCATATTTATTATATTTTTAGGCAATAAGGTGTAGCCAGTTTCTCGATGTATTTGCACTACGAGTATACCTTAATACAACACCATGTTCAGGACGAAAGTATACTAACTGTGGCCTGTGGCCGAATTAACCCTCCCGAGGCTGATATACCATAACCCCCGCAACCCGTCCTCATTATACAACGCCGCAATTTGACGTATACTCTACTTAAAAGCCAAAAATTATACTAAAAAATAGTAGCAGGTCGCAAAATTGACATATTCTCCCGTTTTTTGTTTTGGGTCCTCTGGTAGGTTAGGATAAGGGCACTTTAGTACGACAGTTTCCTGGCGTTGGGGAATCTTATGCAGACGGACTGGACACCGACACCAACCATACAATAATCTCAGGTCTCTCCCCCTTCGGCAGATCGTCTTGAACTCCATGCACAGATACCAGCCAAGGATCCACTTGGTGAGACGGCAGGACTCTGGTCAGGGACCCGTCGCTGAGCTCGACCTTGAAGACCACAAGACCTTTATTTTCCCCGAGACCGTCTTCACCGCTGTCACCGCCTACCAGAACCAGCTGGTGAGTGAGTGGCTCTTCAATGACAATTCTCAGGGCGTATCTTAGTACCTAACATCTCTTACTTCCTACCAATACTCTCCTCTCGTAGCCTAGTACATAGTCTAAGTCTGTAGCCTAGTACATAGTCTAAGTCTGTAGCCTAGTACATAGTCTAAGTCTGTAGCCTAGTACATAGTCTAAGTCTGTAGCCTAGTACATAGTCTAAGTCTGTAGCCTAGTACATAGTCTAAGTCTGTAGCCTAGTACATAGTCTAAGTCTGTAGCCTATAGTCTTAGACCAAACCCTAGTACATAGTCCTAGTCTGTAGTAGCCTAGTACATAACTTAGATCAAAGCCTAGTACATAGTCCTAGTCTGTAGTAGCCTAGTACATAACTTAGATCAAAGCCTAGTACATAGTCCTAGTCTGTAGTAGCCTAGTACATAGTCCTAGTCTGTAGTAGCCTACTACATAGTCTTAGACCATAGCCCAGTATCCTTCAGTACCAGTATCTATAAATTTCATGACATATTTATTATATAAATTAATGTCAAAAGAGATATACCCACATACCTCAATCAGCAACTGGACCGAAGCAAAAGACATCAATAACTTTCCTGACACAATAAATGTATCTTCAGCTCACTTAACGGACGGGTCTTAAAGCGATATTGCATCACGTTAATAAGCGTCCACGTTTCTAACCCTTGCTATATAGCCTAGCTCACTACCGCTCACCAAGCACTAGCAAACGACACTGACCCGTCTTAGCGAGCTCCAGATACCAACTGAGGTCTTCACCTAAACTGCTCTACCCTAAGCTGCGAGGCTAAACGACTCAAATTGGGTAGTTTGGGGGTTGGACCTGAGTTGGTGGACCTGAGGTTACTGCAATTCTTGTCTCAATAAATATGCTTCAACTTGAATGTTTTAGTTAAACAGATTCTAACAAAAAATAATCTAAACTTGGCAGAACTAGAAAAAGTTATAAATAGTTTTCAATTTTTTTTTTTTTTTTTTTTTTTTAGTATCACCGTTAGCGTTAGTGGAGAGCTGCCCGATATACCAGACACGGGGGAAGATATATACCTATAATACCAATGGTATATATATATACACTTCTCAGATAACACATCTCGCATGACACTAGTTATCAGTGTAAGGGCGGGGGGAGGGGTAATTTATACAGGCTGAATACTGTCTTCGAAACAATATATCATTATATTAACTTTTTATTTCAAAGATTGACGGTATAATTCCTCGCTACTTAATTATATACGGAGTGAACCAAATCATTAATATTTGTGTTGTCACATGTAAAAGCGACCTTCAACGAGATGACAAAGTTGTGCTAAGCAATTTAAGGAAATGACTGCCATATTAATTTAGGTTTCTTGTAGCGCGATTATTCTCTGAAATACTGGGCTTAAATTTCCATTTTAAGTGGTGAATGAGGTGAAAGAATTACCACTTAGCTTAAGACTTTAACATCCGCGTCTGTTTACTAACATTTGTCAGTTGTTTATCATGAAGTTTGTTTGCAACGGGGCAAGTCTTTTCGTGACATGATGGTGTTAATATACACGCTCTCTAACCACTTGGGCCGGACGGTAGAGCGACGGTCTCGCTTCACGCAGGTTGGCGTTCAATCCCCGACTGTTCAAGTGATTGGGATCCATTCCTCCCCCCGTCCCATCCCATCACAAATCCTTATCCTGACCCCCCTTCCCAGTGCTATATAGTCGTAATGGCTTGGCGCTTTCCCTTCCCTCTCTCTCTCTCTCTCTCTCTCTCTCTCTCTCTCTCTCTCTCTCTCTCTCTCTCTCTCTCTCTCTCTCTCTCTCTCTCTCTCTCTCTCTCTCTCTCTCTCTCTAAGTGAATTTTAGCGGCACTCAATTCGAATCATACTTTAAGTCAAGGTATTTATCAAAAGAAAACGCTTAGCCAGTGTAACTATACAGCAATTGAAATGGATATGAGGACGAGGAGCTGGGATATGAGGACGAGGAGCTGGGATATGAGGACGAGGAGCTGGGATATGAGGACGAAGAGCTGGGATATGAGGACGAGGAGCTGGGATATGAGGACGAGGAGCTGGGATATGAGGACGAGGAGCTGGGATATGAGGACGAGGAGCTGGGATATGAGGACGAGGAGCTGGGATATGAGGACGAAGAGCTGGGATATGAGGACGAAGAGCTGGGATATGAGGACGAAGAGCTGGGATATGAGGACGAAGAGCTGGGATATGAGGACGAAGAGCTGGGATATGAGGACGAGGAGCTGGGATATGAGGACGAAGAGCTGGGATATGAGGACGAAGAGCTGGGATATGAGGACGAAGAGCTGGGATATGAGGACGAAGAGCTGGGATATGAGGACGAAGAGCTGGGATATGAGGACGAAGAGCTGGGATATGAGGACGGGGGTGAAAGAACAGAAGACTGGACAGATTGACCAATGAATAAATTTCAACTCGGTCGTGTGTGTTGTATGCGATACTATACAGCTGTATTATACACACAATGGATTATACAGGCGTAGAGTGGCGCAATGGATGATGGGAGCGTCACCACATCAGTGAGGTTGAAGCCATCACTGGATGGGTGATCGCGAGGATATCCTCGCCCTTGGCTCTGGGATGGGATGGAAGGCCTCGATAAACTCGCACTGCCTTTTCCTGTCCTCCCGAGAGTAGTAGATCTTGTCACTCTGAAATGCTTCAGGGACGATTAATATTGATTAAAAGTCCCACCACAAATGAACAAATCCACAAGAGCCGTGACGAGGGTTCGAACCTACGTTCGAGAGGATCCCACCACAACTTTGTGAAAAGCAGCTATGCCAACATCCGTCCTCGATAGGTGCCTCCATCTACGTCATCTGGTGACACTATCTACGCCAATTAGTGCCATCATCTACGCCAGTTTGTGTCACCACAGGCGTCAACTGGAGCCGGCACATACGCTAATGGCTGTCAACCATATTAGGCCAATTTTCACTATACATGCCAATTAGTGGACACCATTTGCGCAAATTGCGTTGTTGCTAGACTCCAGCCAGAATCCCGCATTATAGGCCAAAAGGAATCACGACTCGCTGCTGTATTTAAAAATACAATAACCACCAAATACATCAAATGCATTTGACTGCATCCACACCAAATATGTATGCAAAACCTAGTGTTCCGCCCCTCCCCGCCCCCTACCGGCATCAAATGCAACCAGTGCGTTTTACCGCCCAAAAATATCACACCCAACAAATGCGAAAATGTGAAGTGTGATTCACTTTTTTGGGAGGTAACCCTCTCCGTGATTATACAGGAGAATTGTTACCAGCGGGAGGGTGCCACAGAGCACCGCTGGACCACACCACAACCACCCCCACCACACCCCCAACACAGGTCAAAATACACACGCAAAAAAAAATATAAAAATAGAGCCACCAACAGCAGAAATGATTAAGTTATTCTGCGTCCCGGGGGAAATCGTTGAACATTATCCCAATACGCTGACTGTGGCATTGAACGCCGCCTGCCAAATGCCGTGACGGGTAATTGTCGGAATTGGAATTAGTGGGATTAAAACAGCGAGTTGACGAACGGTCCACGGAATCACTGTCTAGCTTTGATACGGTAAACCTCCCCAGCCACGGCAAGCATGACCACAATTACACAACAGTTTGCTGCCGATAACCCATTGATTGCTGCCCCAATACACACACACACTCACACACAAAACACCGATACAACTATGTATTGCCTTTTTTTTTTAATACAACCGATACCCCGTAGTAGAGCAGCGCCGGGGGTAGTGGCAGATGCGATAACCTACGAGTCAATGTATTCGTAATTCAGGAGGATTTACTACACTACAGCCATTGTGGGACGACCCGACGTGGTTGGGGACAGCACTCTGATGGTATTGATATGCTAATGAATTATTGACACTGTCACTTACGCAGCGAGGCGTCGGTAGTCGTGAGTTTACTGAGTACTCTACTGACTGGTGACGAGGCGTCCGTGGTCGTGAGTTTACTGAGTACTCTACTGACTGGTGACGAGGCGTCGGTGGTCGTGAGTTTACTGAGTACTCTACTGACTGGTGGCGAGGCGTCCGTGGTCGTGAGTTTACTGAGTACTCTACTGACTGGTGGCGAGGTGTCCGTGGTCGTGAGTTTACTGAGTTTACCTTTCATTGTTATAATTATTGGTGACAATATATATATATATATATATATATATATATATATATATATATATATATATATATATATATATATATATATATATATATATATATATATATATAATAGGGAGAATTAAGAAGAACTTTGAGATTATATAACGCTTTAAATTAAAAATATATATAACTGTTTAAGGTTAAGTCTTTTAAGTTTTTTTAACGCCTTATAATCAAGGGTATTTAGCAGGAGGGTGAGTGCAACATTCTTACCTGTTGAATATGTGCAAGCAACATGTAACGGGATGAAGGAAGTGACTGTCAGTCCAACTATTTCATATGTGCATGACTGTAAACACACACACACACACACACACACATACTACAGAAGGATAAGGGACTACCTGGGAGAAGTGCAGTGGGAGGAAGAACTTAGAGGAAAAACAGTGCAAGGTATGATGACCCAAGTCATATTGAAATGCAAGGAGGCTGAAGATAGATTTATTCCAACAATAAAGACAAAAAGCAGGAGGGAATATAATAACCCATGGTTTAATAGACAGTGTCAGGAAGCAAAGGTGAGAAGCAGAAGGGAGTGGAGGAAGTACAGAAGACAAAGGACAGAGGACAACAGGATTAGATGTAACAGAGCTAGGAATGATTACATTAACATAAGACGAGTGTCGGAAAGAAATTATGAGAACGATATTGCAGTCAAAGCGAAAAAGCAACCAAAATTACTACATAGCCATATAAGAAGGAAGATGTCGGTAAATGACCAGGTGACAAGACTGAGGAAAACAGAAGGGGCATATACAGAAAGCGACAAGGAAATCTGC